GGCACAAGAGTATCCTAGGACAATGAAGTAGGAAGAGCATGAGTGGAGCATGAGACCACTACTAAGAAAAGCAGTGACAGAAGAAAAAGTAGTAGAGATGGTGGTATGGATAGAAAGAGCAGCTGCAGGCTCTAGGCTCATGGATTGAGTAAGGTTGTGTGCCTATGGGCAGAAGGCTGGCTGGCAGAATGTGCCTGCTGAAAGTTAAATGAATACATATATTTTTTATAATGTGTACATCAAATATTTTGCTTTGTTCATTTGTGAAATATAAGATGTAAATGGAAGTCACAGGAAGAAAGTAGTATAACTGTTGTTACAGGAAGAGGATTGCAATCACTGAGATGAAACAAGGTATATAATTTGTTGAATATAAAGCTAATGATCTTCTCTGTAAAACTTCACTCAACTCACAATAAAAGTTTTTTAAAAAAGTATTGCTACAAAATCATGTTGCTGTTGTTGTTAGGTGCCCAGTTTTGCACCAACTCACAATCAGTGTTACACTTAAGCCCACTGCCACTGTCACTGTGCCAACCTATCTCACTGTGGGGTTTACTATTTTTTGATGAGCCTCCACTTTACTAAGCATGATATCCTTCTCCAGGGATTAGTCCCTTGTGATAATATGTACAAATTATGAGAGAAGAAGTCTGGCCATCTTGGCTTCTAAGGAGCAGTCTGGTTGTACTACTTCCAACACAGAGTTGTTCATTATTTTGGTGGTCCATGGTGCTTTCCATATTCTCTTCCAACACCATGACTCAAATGTATAAATTCTTCTTCATTCTTGTTTATTCATTGTGCAACTTTCACATGCATTATGAGCTATTGAAAACACCATGGTTTGGGTGAGGCACACCTTAATCCTCAAACTGGCATCTTTGCTCTTGAACACTTTAAAGAAGTCTTGTGCAGAAGGTTTGCTTAATGCAATACGTCATTTGATTTCTTGACTATTGCTTCCATGAGTGTTGATGGTTGATCCAAGGAAAGTGAAGTCTTTGACAACTTCAATTTTTTCTTCCTTGATATGGATGTCCAGTGATGAGGATTTTTGCTTTCTTTACGTGGAAATGCAACTCATACCAAAGGCTGTGTGGTCTTTGATCTTCATCAGTAAGTATTTTAAGTCCTCTTTACTTTCATCAAGCAATGTCGTATCATCTGCCTAACAAAGCTTGTTAATTCTACAAAATCATAAAAGCCTTTATTAAACCAAATACCAAAGTATGAAACTACTGTTTCTTGACATATCCTCTATGCAGGTCTATACATTCCTGAAAGCAGTGTTTCCAGCTCTCTGATTCTTACTTGATGAATTCTGTGCTCTTCAACTTACATAACATCAAAACAGCAGTTTTTGCATCCTCAAAAGACTAGAATTGTATTCCTTTTCAATGCAGTTTGAACTTTTAGATCCAAAAGAAGTCTTAAAGGGCAAAATCAGGGCTGTAATGTGGATGGGCTAAAGGTTCCCAATGAAATTTCCAAAGGATAGTCCTCACTATTCTCAAATGAACAGCGCCATTCTTCTTATGGAAAAAAATTCCTTGGTGTAATTTTCCTGGCCTTTTTCTCACCAATGCAATTTTTTGTTTTCTTAAATCATCTTTATGATAAGCTCCCATGATCACCCCGTGTCCTGTGAAAAGCATCTATCAAGATTACCCTTTCAAAGTTCCAAAAACCAGTCACCACACCTTGTGTGTTGCCTCATAGCACCACTTTTGGATTCACTCTCATATTTACAGCTGTGCCTCCATAACAAACAAGGTCATGAAACTAACCAACTCACTAGTTGAATTTTAAGGAAACAGCTTCCAACTTAGTTGTTGTTGTTGTTAAATATCGTGAAGTCAGTTCCGACTCATAGTGACCCTGTACAGGGTATCCGAGGCTGTAAGTCTCTACAGGAACAGAAAGCCTCATCTTTCTCCTGTGGAACGGCTGGTAGTTTCAAACTGCCAGCCTCGAGATTAGCAACCCGATTCATAACCACTACACTACCAGAGCGCCTTTCCAACTTAGTGGTGATCTTTAGTATCTGCTACCAACTGTCTGGCCGACTGATTGGAAGAGATCCATATTTGTGCCCATTCCAAAGAGAGGTGACCCAACAGAATTCGGAAATCATCAGACAATCTCTTTGATATCTCAAGCGAGTAAAGTTTTGCTCAAGGTAATACAGAAACAGCTGCAATCATACATTGACAGAGAACTTCCAGAGGTTCAAGCTGGATTCAGAAGAGGCCGTGGAATGAGAGATATCATTGCTGATGTCCGGTGGATCTTGGCTGAAAGCAGAGAATATCAGAAGGATGTTTACCTGTGCTTTATTAACTACGCAAAGGGTTTCGACTGTGTGGATCATGACAAGCTATGGACAACATTGAGAAGTATGAGTATTCCAGAACACTTGATTTTACTTCTGAGGAATCTGTACCTGGACCATGAAGCAGTTGTTCGAACAGAGCATGGGAACACTGAATGTTTTAAAATTGGGAAAGGTGTGCGACAAGGTTGCATTCTTTCACTATACTTATTCAACCTGTATGCTGAGCAAATAATACAAGAAGCTGGGTTCTATGAAGAAAAACGTGGCATCAGGATTGGAGGAAGGCTCATTAACAACCTGCGATATTCAGATGATACAACCTTGCTTGCTGAAAATGAAGAGGACTTGAAACATTTACTGATGAAGATCAAAGAGTACAGCCATCGGTATGGGTTGCATCTCAATGTCAGGAAAACAAAAATCTTCACCACTGGACCAATTAACAACATTCTTATCAATGGAGAAAAGATTGAAGCTGTCAAGGACTTCATTCTTCTTGGATCAACTATCAACACACGTGGAAGCAGTAGTCAAGAGATCAGACGACGTATTGCATTAGGCAAATTTACTGTATAGGAACTTTTTAAAGTGTTGAAGAGCAAAGATGTCAGCTTGAGGACTAAGGTGCAACTGACCCAAGCCAAAGTATTTTCAATAACCTCATATGGATGTAAAAGCTGGACAGTGAATAAGGAAGATCGTAGAAGAATTGATGCCTTTGAATTGTGGTGTTGGAGGAGAATACTAAAAGTGCCATGGACTGCCAAAAGAACCAATAGATCTGTTTTGGAAGAAGTGCAGCCAGAGTGCTCCTTGGAGACCAGGATGGCTAAGCTTCATCTCTCATACTTTGGACATATTGTCAGGAGGGAACAGACACTGGAGAAGGATGTCATGCTGGGTAAGATGGAGGGTCAGATAAAAAGAGAAAGACCCCCAACGAGATGGATCAACCAGGTAGCATCACTGATGGTGTCATGCGTGGCAGTGGTAGTGAGGTTGGCCGGGGATCGGACATTGTTTCTTTCTGCTGTGCATGGGGTTGCTATGAGTTGGTTCCAACTTGATGGCACCTGACAACAACAACAACACCAATTATGCCAGAGGCAAGGATGGTTCCACAGTAGAATCTTTGCTTTCTATATGGGAGCCCTAGGCTGCACCTCATCTGTGGCCACCACATGTCTGTAAGTAGAGGTTTGCATGTTAACTACTGTGTGTGACACTACATGCACTGGACTACTAACCACAAGGTTGGATGATTCAAACCCACCAGTTGCTCCTTAGAAACCCTGTACATGGTTTGCTATGAGTCAGAACCGACTCTACAATACTTAACAACAACAATGCTAGCTATATTCGGTGGAACTTCTCGAGTAAGACAAAATAAGAAAAAGGGCTGGTGGTTTACTTCTGAAAGTAAGCCAATGAAATCCTATAGATCACAGCAGTCTGATCCAAATCGCATCATGGGGGCAGTGCAGGATTGGGCAGTGTTTTTTTCTGTTGTGCATGGTGTTGCCATGAATCAGGGGCTAACTCTATGGCAGCTAACAAAATCAACAACCACTCTAGTACACAGATTAGGTGTTAGATTGCTAACAATCAGGAGAGACCTAAATATGCTCCAACAATACTGAGTCCCTCTCAGGTCTACCTATAGGAACAGACCTCTTATTCCTACTTGATTTGCATCTTTTATACCCTCACAACTGTCAAGTAATTTTAGGTTCTAAGAGATCAGTTGCACTCCTGGTATGGGGCTGGAGGATAAGCACTGGACATCTAACCACACGGTTGGTGGTTTAAACCCACTAGCCACTTTAGAAACCCTACAAAGGGTCACTATGAGTCAGAACCAACTCACTGGCACTTAACAACACCACGAGATCAGCTATTCAAACACCACCATTAACCCATTCTTAATTTTCTATCAGTATTTTGTAGTGTGGTTAAAGAATGTGAGCTTTGTGGTCAGAGATATTAGTCCAAAACCTGGCTCTAGCATTTAGCTGTGTGATCTTGGTGTGGTGGCGGGTGTATGCCATAGAGTCAGTTCTGTCCATCCTGTGTAGGGTTTCTGAGGCTACAAAACTTTCATGGGGCTGCTGGTGGATTCAAGCTGCTTTCCTTGTGGTTAGCAGTTTAATGTGTAACGCACTATGCTACCAGGGCTCCTGTGTGATCTTAAACAAGTCAATAAAAAAACCCGCAACCTCAGTTTCCTTGCAAACAATAACAGCAACTCATAAGGATTACAAATATTAAAAATATAAGTATACAAAGAAACTAACAAATAAAAACTAACCCATAAATGTTAAATATATCATTATTAAAAATAAGCTTCTTGCAAACCTACTAAATTCTTACCCTTAAGTCTTTTTTCCTATCAAATTCGAAGTTTTATGGGTCATTAACACCCCTTCCTCCCCAAGTCCTTCTAGAATAATCCTTTCTTCACAAAAATTGCAATTCATAAAGGAAACTTAGAAATCAACAACCAATTATGTAGCGTAAACAACTCTACTCAGAGTTTCTACTCAGTTAGAAACCCCGGTTTGCTTCCAAATATTTTCTTTCTTTACAAGAAGCTTCCAAAAAAGCATTTTATGGTGATACTGGAAGGGCATAATTTCATCTCTAAAATAATTTCATACAATACCTCCATGGAGTTCACATTCAGAGGAATATCATGGAAGGGAGAAATGTAGTGACCAGCAACATTCTCTGCAAAGAAAAATAAATAAGTAAAATAGCACAGAGTTAAAGGAATAAACTACACTGTTTTTGAGAGCAATAATTTTCTCATTTTTAAACTAGCATATTTATTTTAAAGCTAACTTTAACTCTCAAACTGAATAAAAGTCTAACTCAACTTTTAAAGCTTGTTTCAATCTGACAACCAAAGAGGAATTTGCACCAAATAAACTACATTTGGTAAATGCTGAAGTCATTTTACTTATCCCTGTGCTTTAAAATACTCAAAGCAGAAAATGTCTAAAGCAGGCTAAAACTCAAAAGGTGAACTTTTGAAAACAGACCTATCACTAAGCAAATCAGATTAAAATTGATATCCATTTTCCTATGGGAAATTTAACAGAGTTCCCATATCCACATGAAAAAAAGGTCCAAAGACAGGAGAAACAAAAGGAACATATCATTTGTTTGACTCAAAGTTAGGATGCTAATGTTAAGGTAAGCTCAAAACAAAAACAAATTTTAAGAACAGAAACTTTCTTATCTTTAGGGTTATTTTCTTAAGTACGTATTTTAAATACTTTTCAAAGTACAGATTATTTAAATAACTCAATATGCAATTTTACTGGAATTCTGAAAGCTCTACATTCTTTTATCTATCCTCAAAAATGTCAAAAGAAATTGACTGTCTCAAACTGCCTTAGAAATTTTCAACTTGGCAATTTTCTAAGTCAGGGTCTGTTTTACTTCTGGCCTACTACCTCCTTGGTATAATTTTAAATTTAGATTTTAACAATGTTATAACAAAATAGAACAAGCATTGGCTGACATTCCAATAACAATGAGCACAATTAGCATTCATATCTTGGTTTCTAAATACAATTCACTCATAAAAGACCCAGAACTCCTAGGGTAAACAATTAATTCTAAGAGTCATTATGAATCAGAACTGACTTGATGGTACCTTACAATAAGAATCCAAGAAGCTGCAGGAACCCAGAAAGTTTACTATTAAATCAAGGAAGTATAGGAAGCTAGACAGACTAGCTGAGTTATCTTTGTAATTAGAGTAAATAAGTATAGCACATAGCTTAGGTGTTAGGCTTTAATAACTGTGGATCAAAAGCCAAATCCACTGCCATCAAAACAACTCTGATTCACAGTAAGCCTATAGGACACAGTAGAACTTCCCCATAGGGTCTGTAAAGCTACAATTTCTAAAGAAACAAACTGCAACATATTTCTACTACAGAGACACTGGATGGAGTACACAGGAATCAAATTGACTACATCTGTGGGAAAAAATGGTGGAAAAGCTCAACAACATCCACCAAAACAAGGCCAGGGACCACCTGTGACCATCAATTACTCAAATTCAGTTCAGGCTGAAGAAAATTAAAACAAGTTCAGGAAAGCCAAAGTTGAATATACCCCACCTGCATTTAGAGACCATCTCAAGAACAGAGTTGATGTATTTGACATTAATTACTGAAAACCATTGAGTTGTGAGACCACATCAAGAGCATCATAGATAAAGAAAGCAAACTGTCATTAAAAAGGCAGCAAAGAGAGAAAAGAGCAAAATGGATGTCAGAAGGGACTCTGAAACTTGCTCTTTAGCACAAAGAAGCTAAAGTGAATGGAACAAATGAGGAAGTAAAAGAGCTGAACATAAAATTTCAAGGGCAGCTCAAGAAGACAAAGCCAAATGTTATCATGAAATGTGCAAAGATCTGGAGTTACAAAAGCAAAAGTGAAAAACATGCCTAGCATTTCTATAGCTGAAAGAATTGAAGTAAATGTTAAAGTCTCAATTTGCAATACTGAAGGAATCTATGGGGAAATAGTAAATGATGCAAAAATCATCAAAAAAGATGGAATACAGAATCACTGGACCAAAAAGAACTGGTTGATGTTCAAGCATTTCAAGAGATAGCATATGATTAAGAACCGATGTTACTGAAGGAATAAGTGTAAGGTGCACTGAATGCATTGGAGGAAACCAAGGTTTCCTGAACTGACGGAATACCAATTGAAATCATTCAACAAACTGATGCAGCATTGGAGGTACTCACCAGTCTATGCCAAGAAATTTGGTAGACAGTTACTCGGACAGGTGACTAGAAAAGATCCATAGTTGTGCCCATTTCAAAGACAGGTGATGCAATGGAATACAGAACTCATCAAATAATATCACTGATATCATATGCAAGTAAAAGTTTGCTGAAAATAATTAAAAAACAGCTGTGACAGTACATACACAAGGAACTCCAAGATATTCAAGCCAGATTCAGAATGGGACGTGGAATGATGGATATCACTGCTGATATGCCATGGATCTTGGCAGAAAGCTGAGAATAACAAAAAGATGTTGTTGTTGTTGTTGTTGTGTGCCGTGGAGTTGGTTCCAACTCATAGCAACCCTGTATAAGGTTTCCGAGGCTGTAAATCTCTACAGGAGCAGAAAGCTTCATCTTTCTCTAGCAGAACGGCTGGTAGTTTCAAACTGCTGACCTTGATGGTAGCAGCCTGACTCGTAACTGCTACGCTACCAGAGATTGTGTGGATCATGGTAAACAGTGGATAACATTGCAGAAAATGACTATTCTGGAACACTTAATTGTACTCATGGAGCAAACGTTCAAACAACAAGGGAATACTGAATGGTTTAAAATCAGGAAAGATGTGGACAAGGGTTGTATTTTTTAGCCATACATATTCAATATGTATGCTGAGTGAATAGTCTGAGAAGCTGGATTAGATGAAGAAGAGCACGGCAAAAGACTGGAGGAAGACTCATTAAAAAGCTACGATATGCAGATGATAAAATCTTGCTTGCTGGAAGCAAAGAGGACTTAAAATATGTACTGATGAAGATAAAAGACTACAATTTTCAACTAAGCAATCAATAGGTAGAGTCCTGGTGTGGCACTGTGGGTTAATGTGCTGAACTGCAAAGTTGATGTGAACTGCAAGGCTGGTGGTTCAAGCTCACCAGTTGCTCCTTGGAAACACTATACAGGGTTGCTGTGGGTCAGAACCCACTCGACGGCACTCCACAACAATAACAACAGTAACACTAGTCCTGGTGTGGCACTGTGGGATAAAGCACTGGACGACAAGGCTAGTTTGAAACACAGGGTTGGTGGTTCAAACTCTCCTGTGGCTATATGTCAGAACCAAGTGTACATCACTTAACAACAACAACAACAACAGCAACACTAGTAAGGTACACACAAAATAGAATGGTCAACCATTCATGATTAAAATGGCAGCATTTACTCAAGGACAAAGTTCAGAAGGGTTGGTAATGGAGGAGGAATGAAAATAAGGAAGATGGAGGAAATGGAGGAAACAGGATAAGTGATATTAAGTTGAAGGGACTGCAATCATTTAGATGAAACAAAATGTATAATTTGCTGAATGTAAAACTGATGATCTGCTCTATAAACCTCCATTCAATTAACAATTAAAAACAAAACAAAACAAAAACTCCTAGGTTATATTGGTTCTAAGTGTGAAGACAAAGTAACAGCTGGAGTGGAGGCAAGGGAATCAGGGGTGCTGTCTAACACCTGTTAACCTGGAGCTACTTCTTAGACATTCAAGTAAAAATATACAGTAGACAGTTGGACACATAGATATGAAGTTCAGGGAGAGATTGGGGCTGGAGTAAAACTATGGGAGTCATACATGGTATCTAGAGCTATAGGAATAGCTAGGATCACATAGAGAACGGTCAGGAAACTATGGCCCAAGGACTAAATTCAGCTGATTGCCTATTTGTTTGTTTGTTTGTTTTTATAAATAGATTTGCTGGAATCCAGTCATGTCCATACATTTATATATGACTCTCAAAGCCTAATATATTCAGTTTAAAGAAAACATGTGCTGATATTTTCCTAAAGAGTACAGAGAACAGGGATATGGACTAAGCTCTAGGACATTACAAAGTTTAGAGCTCAGAAATACAAAAAGGAACCAAGCAAGAGATACTTCAAAGGGACAATAATCAAAACAAAATTACTAAGGAGTATTGTCCCAGAGGCAAGAGAAAAAAAAAAAAAAGTTTCTAGGAAGACTTATTTACATGGAACCAGAAACAATATGATAATATTTCTTTGATCTAATTGAAAGACATATGTGTGTGTGTGTGTGTGTGTGTGTATAGATATGTATACATACATATGTTATATGTGGAGTCCTGGTGTGGCACTGTGGGTTAATGTGCTGGACTGCAAAGTCGGTTTGAACCACAAGGTCAGGGGTTCAAGCTCATCAGCTGGTCCTCAGAAATTCTATACAGTTTCGCTTTGGGTCAGAACCAACTCAACAGCACCTAACAACAAACATATGTGTACATACACATCTACACACACACACACACACATAACCAAATAACTACATGTATGCCAAATACCGGAGTTAATTTAAGGTGTGGTGCTGTAGATTAATGTGCCAGACTGCAAAGCCATTTGAACTGCAAGGTAGGTGGTTCACGCTCACCAGTCTCTCCTTAGAATCCTATACAGGGTCACTGTGGGTCGGACCCGACTTGACAGCACTTAACAACAACAACAATGCCAAATACCAACATACTATTACTAAAACAATTTAGACATTCAAATTGCAAGCTTTAGCAATGACTAAACTACCGTTATTGTTTTTTCTGAGTAAAAGATTAAGAAATAGAAAAAAAGTTTTAAATCACTTTAATAAAAAAATTAGATCACAAGAAGATTTGGCTTTCCCAGCACTCATTGAGAAAACTAATAAGATAATCTAAAACATGGTTTTATGGACCAATGACCAAATCAATATAATTTTATTTTTCTCTATTTACATAGAGTATATGTGCTCTGGTAGCGTAGTGGTTACGAATCGGGCTGTGAACCGAACGGTCACCAGTTCGAAACTACCAGCTGTTCCGCGGGAGAAAGATGAGGCATTCTGCTCCCGTAAAGATTTCCAGCCTCGGAAACCCTGTACATGGTCGCTATGAGTCGGAACCGACTCCACGGCACTTACAA